CGGGTGGTGCAGGCGGGTGCGGCGGAGCGGTGCGGGGCAGTGTCGGTGCGTGCGGTGCGGGCGGTGCGGGTCGGTGCGGCGGTGCGGGCGCCATTCCGGCCACTGTTCCCGACCGCAATGAAAAACTAACCTGCGACCACTCATGGGGTCCTCGAACAAGCCGCGGCAGATGTTCAAGAAAATGAACCTCACCAAGTTGCTTGGCTTGGGTTTTGAGTGTAGCGTTTGGAGTTTAGGGTGCAGGGTTTACGGATTAGGGCTTAGGGTTTGGGGCTTGGGGCTTGGGGTGAGACATCGCAGCAACGAGCAATCCTGCACTAACATGCTCCTCTTTTGTGGCCTTGTGAAGTCGTCCACGAGGATGTCGATGCGCTTATTGATATCCTGGTGATACACGAGCTCTAGCCTAAACTCCTCAAAGGGGGTTACATAGGGGGTAAAAAGAGTATTATCAGGGTTATTAAGGAGGATACTAGGAGTTTTCACTATAGCTGACATGCACAAGGGATGCGGATCCAAAGATGGACATTCCCTGCCAAACCACCTGAAATTGATGGATTTCAGAGATGAAGATACAGTTGTGGGTCTGAGGGACACATAGCGGTTGGGAGAAAAAGGAGGCCCTCGTCGGAACATTGTTTGAGAAACTCCTGCATGTTAACGACGACTCCTGAAGTAACCAAAAACAAAAATCCCTGCGTACTCTGATAATCCGCTGTGCTTGAATCTCACCACTAATTTCTACATTAACTAGACATTCCAACATGAGCTATAGTCTAAACTCCTAGTATCCCTTCGATAACACCTAGAATACTCCCCTATATAATCCCCTAAATAACCCTCTCCAGGAGTTCAAACCCTAACCCCTAAACCCAAAATCCTAAACCCTAAACCCTGATACGTGAGGTTTCGACTGCCCCAAGCAGGCTCCCTGGGTCCTCTGATTGCTCGGCATCCCGCAAGCGGCCCTGGAAGAGAAGCACAAAGAACTCAAGGCTGTACCTCAGAACCAGGTTGCTTTCTAGGGTTTAGGGTTAGCCTAAAGCAGGGTTTAGGGTTTAGGGTTCAGGGTTAAGGGTTCAGGGTTTAGGGTGTAGGGTTCAGGGGATGCTTTCTAGGGCGTAGGGTTTAAGGGCTTTGGCGGTTAGTAGCTGCAACTTTGCCTACTGGTGGAAAAAGTAGGGAACGAACCACACGATGGCAACAACTACATCACTTATGGCTTAGGGTTCACTTGGGATTACAAGGGATGAATCCCTGTGGTGGTCCCTATACAATTCCCAATAGGGATCCCAATATGGCATTCCTTCATTCCCGGCTGACCACCAATAAGGTCGTCAGCCCCTACATCATGATGGATGCAAAGATATCTGCGAGCAAGCGCACCTGTCTTAGGCGGACCGCACACCCTGTAATAGTGATATATCAGGAACATGAGAGGGCTAAAATGATCACCTTTATCCCTTTGAGTCACGATTACTGGATGGGGGGTCCACCTAACACCTCTCTCACACGGCAAGATCTTAAGCGTGTCTTTCCTCTGCCAGAGATTTTTCTCAGGCTGCGGCTGGTACATGGGATCAATGTTCGCAAGGTCGGCCACCCTGAGTCTTTCTGGGCGCTTCACCAAAAAAAGATCCTTCCTTTGCTTGGGACAGTATGAGTATGCAAGGAAGAGAACCTACTACATGCCAAATATTTTGCTGCCAGGAGCGGCTGTGGCTCTTTGAGATGAAGCAGCAAGTCATACAGATTTTTGCCACCATCAGAAGAGTGGTGCATGGTAAAAACAGAAGACTTAATTCCAAGTACAGGTCATTGCTTGAATCCCAGTTATTCTGAAAGTTCTTCGTCAGTATACCTAGACACATGTGAAGTCACAAGTGCTATTTGTCTGCCTCACTCCTCCTCCACGGCATTCAGCCGCAGCGCGGAACTCCAGATCCCAGACCAAACCCCTGCAGCCTAATCAAGTTCACAACTGAAATCTAAACAAATATTTCCCTAACCCCCATGTGGGCATCCTTTTAAATTGATCTCCCCTACGTGCTGCAAGTCTCCGCTATCTCTCACCCACACTTTTAACTAAGGCCCCAAGAAGGTACCCCACATTCTGAGAGACCCCAAAAATCTTCAACTCTAACCCTAAAGCAGAAACGACATCTGGCAGCAGCCTAACGTGCAGTCCAGGCTGCACGAAATACAGGATCGATGCCCTGCAGGAGCAGAAGGCTTCAGTTTTTGCGGTTAGATAAAGAGCCCATTCGTCCACATCATCACTGAGTGCACATGATGGTAATTTTCCAAAAGAGGTGGACCCCGCTTAGACCCCGAAATATTACAAGCCTTTTTATTGGGACCCTCGATAAGGTACCCCTAATTTTGGGAAGCCCCCACATTAAGGAAGTGAAGATCTCAACTTGGTGAGTTTTCATGTCACATACCTAACGATGACAAGTAGTCTGAGATGGAGGGCAGTTTTCAAAAATTGGGTTTAGGGTTCGGTTTAGAGTTTAAGGTTTGGGGTTGAAGGCGAACAAAATACGAACAACAGAGCCCAAGCAGACCACTGTCCCTTCAAAAGCAATACGCCTTGGAACCACACCAGGATTTACATATTTCCCTTAGGTGCGGACAAAAACCCCCAACCAACAATCGACAGCCCAAAAACCTTACACTCCTAAAACCCTCAACCTCCAACCTTGAGTCCCAAAATCTGGTACCCGAAGCCCCCCAAAGCCCGTAATCGCAAACCCCTAAAAACCTCGAATCCTAAATGCGAACTGATCCCTTAACTCCGAGAATGCACAATCCAACATAATCAAACATACCTACACATATATATATATACACACATATACATATACATGTGTACATACAGCAATGTAATCCATTGCAAGGACCATCAACCCCCCATTTTCATTTTCAGTTCCGTGTTCTTGCCTACTTGGTTCTCCAAAATGTTCTCTTCCCTTCTTGGTATCCAGAAGGGTAGCCAAGATGTTTACTACTCTGTGCACAGTCTCTGAACTCGCCTCGTCGCCACGGGCCGCAACTTCTCACGAACCGCATCGATTTCCGTCATGGCCTGTCAGGGGCTTGAAATGCAGGATTTTGAGGTTCTCTATGTAGCGTTTTACCCGAGGGCTTTTACGTCTGCACGAAGTGCACGGGGCTTCAAACCACCCTTAGTCTTCAGCCTGCACAGCCACCGAGCGCCAGTGCTTGCGTATCAAGACACGCATGGTTAACACGGTCCCTTCCGAGGTGCTGTGAGCACTAGAGCTACGCGAAATAACCTCGGGGGCACAGCTTGCGAGCTATCACGCTTTCGCAACCCTGTGTGTAAAGAGGTTTAGGGGTTTGGGGGTTTTGGGGCTTGAGTTTACGGTTCAGTATTGGGTAAAATAGGTTCAGGGTTTGGGGTCACCATAATAAGCTACATCCACATTCTATATGAGATGGGCTGCCTTTTGGGGAGTCATAGAAGTTCTATCTGTAGGAATGTGGAACATGTAATGACTGGTTTATCTGGGCCAAAACTTCTCAGACATGTTTCCGATAATGATCCAGGTGTGAGTAAGGGTCTATCAACATCATTGTGTTTTGCGCTTCATTTTGTTTTGAGTTGCTTTGCGTCGCTTTTTCCCCCTTTTTCTATGTTTGTTTGTTGTTCTCATCGTTGCTTCGTTTGCCTGGCCTCGATGACCTCAAGAAATGGAGCGAATGATGCGAAATTCAACATTGAAACTACTCAGAACTTACACACGTGAAATGCAGCATTGGCACCAGCTTGTATGCCCCGGATTTTGCAAACTCCAGCTGGAAGGCCTGAAATCTTGTGGGAAATATCTCGCGAACATCTTCACGACGCTGCGAGATGCAGCACTCTGCGATGCTTTTGCAGAGCTGAAGAATACTCGCCTTATGAATAACAAGTGTAACCAGGAAACTAGTAAGGTAGTCCTAGTAAGCATTCAAAACAAGAGAACGGTAGTAGTAAAACCATGAAGTGTGAAACCAACATTAGAACTCAGGTGGCCAGACAGTAGTACTGGCACCGTCGGAAAAGAATCTATCAAAACACTTTGATTGTCATCCCTACTCTCACTAGTCCTGATCAATAAGGGCAGTACTCCTAGCAGCAAGAACAAACTTGTTTGGCTTGTTTAGGGCCTGGGCTGGAGCATTGGGATTGCGCCACTATGTGCGGTTGTGCAGTATGACAGAAAGCATTAACCCAAACCCTAAAGCCCTAAACCCCCAAACCCACAACCCTAACCCATAAACCCTAGACCATTTTCAGAAGCTGCCGGCCTTGTCGGCTACCTGCATACGCTCTTGGCATTCCAGCCCTGTTTGCTTGGACCTGGGCAGGTTGTTGATGACTTATAGTCCCCCTTAAGTAGATAGAACATGGCTTTGGGTATATTATAGCAAGATAGATACCCATATACCCCATGTTCTATCTACTAAAGGGGGACGATAGGGCTTGGGGCTTGAAATTTAAGATTCAGGATAACACACTCCTGACATGTATGGTATCCATAAAGGGACCATGGTCGTGACAAGCCTCCATGTGAGGATTACATGAGGAAATTGCCAGGCTGCACGCACGCAAGAAGCTAGCTTGGGCATTTTCTGAGTACGGGCCTCCTTGTATACTCCAATAGACTTTAGAAACTAAAAAACACGTAGTTTCGAGAAAGGTCTCCAGACAAAGGCAAAGCCCAATACAAACGCCAGTAACCTATGATCCTTACAATAGGGACTCTCAACAAGGGATCCCGAATTGCTGAAAACCCTAAACCCCATGTATATATATATATACATCTATCTATCTGTCTGTCTATCTATCTCTCTACATGCTCCTACATCCCCCTAACATAAACCCCTTCGTGAGGACCCCTAACTTGGAGCTTGACTGATCCAAAGTGTTGATCAGCGTGTCATCTTTCAGAACATCGCCGGCCGCCTGGTCATGGAACAGGCTGTTCTTGGGTCAGATCGGGGGATCACCCTTGGGTCCCTTTCAGCGGAATCAGAAGGAAATCTAGATATGAGATTTAGAGCTGAGGGTAAAGGATTTGGGGTTCAGGGTTTGGTGCGGTCTTCGACGCTCACATGGAAAGTTCTCACAGCAAAGAGACTTGTTTGGGCCATTCCGACAGTCGGCACCTTGTATGTTCAGTGTCACAAGCGGTCGTAGTTTTTCCCACAATTTACGAGACCACAGCCGTAGGCAACAGTCAGTGATAGCAAGGATAGCATACCTGCCGGAATAAAACTGATGCACTGACATTATAGTCAGATAGTCATGCACCATCTTGCCGCCCCTCCTCAGCCAGAAGCTTGAGAATCAGCTGCTCGAGGTCATCCTACAAGACTTGGTTTTCACTTCAATCATGCCTTAGCCCTTCAGGCCTGTGGGTTTAGAGATTTAGGCTTGAAGGCTTCTCATGGGAAGTTAGCTAGGATGGTAATTCAAGCTGCAACCGTCTTTGCCAAGAGAAGATGTGGTCAAGACTTTCTTTATGAGGTTGTTGGGCTTGGGCTGTTACTTCAAAACAACCATCTCTAACTTTTGCCTCCTGAACGATAAGCATGCATCTTTGGACTCGAGTTTGACGAAGTCATGTTTTAGAACATAGTGCGCGGCACTACCCCAAAAACCCATGCACATAACAAATTGATTCCACTAACTATGATAAGACTACACCGGTATTGGCCAAACTTGATTGTGCTCTATGCTCTGTAAGCTTGGGGACCCAGTAATTAGACTACAGTTGTGGGGAACACCCAGTACTTGTAAGGGCAAGGGAACACGTTCTCATCCCTGTTAAATCAACACTTGTCTAGAGATTGGAAACAACCGGTCATTGGGTGTGGCAGCAAAGACACATGCCCACTGCTATGGTTTGTGCACAGCTCTCCGAAGGGTGCAGCTTAGCCGAGCCAAAAAAACTCATGGAGAAATCAGTCTTTTGCTGCACGTCCTGCGTTTTCTTGTCAGCGGCAATTTGCACCACAAGCTCTTGCCGCTGCTGCCTGCTGTGTGAACATGTTGACAGGGTAACGCAAGGGCCTTATAAATTCGAACAGGGTGCGCGGGGTGTCTTAAACTACAACTACACAAGGGTGATACTGTAGCAGCATAGCATTGATAAACATTTAGGCTCCTACATGACACTCTCCACTGTTTGGCTCCTGCACTAGCCTGTTGTCGGCGAAAAAGGGTGCTGCTGCCTTCAAGCCTGAGGATTTAACTCAACATCTCCGATACTCTCTTAGAGGAACGGATGCTCCTATGCATCACCTTTCTCACACCTGTCTGCAGATGCATGTACACATTGACACACACTATCCTGTACGCAGCACAAGTTGAAGGGAACTGAAATTTTAAAACAACACACACACACACACACACGCCTCCTGCACACGAAACCTCACGCAGGACTTTCTCTAAGTTACCCCTACTTCCTTGCTGCTCTCTACCTATCCCTGGGGCCCCTAACCCTAAACCAGATCCCGAAATCCCAACACCCATAAATAAACTTAGCTTCCATGACCACATTGGAACTTCTTCTTCTCCAGTTGGTTGTTCATCAGAAGCCTGTACCCCTATGGACCCTCGTTCGCGCAGGACAGTCCCAACGACCTATGATATACCTCTATAGAAGGATTAACTTCCTAAGTCCCCAGTAATCTATGGCCCTTGCCCCCTAAACCCCAAGCCCTAAACCAATGGCCCTAAACTTTACATCCCTTAACCGGCCCTTTCAAGACAAGGCAGTAGGACGCCAAGTCTGGGCGCTCATTGCCAACCACCTCAGCAACCAACTGCTCCTGGTCGATACGAAGATAAAGGGGCCAGGCATTTAGGATTTCTGGCTTAGGATTTAGGAGTTAGGGTTCAGGTTATTGGGGTGGCAAATGGGAGTATATGAAGGTTTCCATAGGAAGTAGTAGCAAATCGGATGGGAGAGAAAATGGAGACTGAAGTGTAAGCTGGGTTTATAAAAAGAATTTATACAGGGATTGTATTGTAGGAGCCTGCATAAATAGAAGACTTCAGCTAAGAAAGGAGTAAAAGGATACTGCTAGAGCTAGCACCACTACTACCACAGTTCCTCCTCCTCCCCATTGCAAAGTTTACTGCTTGTCGTGTCTCTCTTTCACCTTTACCAGTGCCATTGCCAGAAATACAGTTTTCAATACAGGTAGTCGACCAACTCTTACGCTACTGCTGATTGAGTTGTTCACTAGTTTCCACAAATGAGGGACCCCAATATAAGCCCCAATATACTCTATTTGGGGACCTCCAAAAAGGTACCCTAATTTTGCGAAACCCACAAAGTGTACCGGTGGCGTTTCTCCTCCAAGCCCAGAAGAGTGACGGTGAAGTTGATAACCGTCACCTGAGCAAGAACTGCTGTCAACAGGCCATGTGCCCCATCTACATCACAAATTCTAGGAATATTTATATTTAAACAAAGGCTTCTGGAAAAAGTCCTTGCAATTGTTCTTCGGGCAGTTCCAACTCATTCCATTCTGTGGCGTGTCCATCGTACTTTGCAATCTTTGCCTCTGTCCACTAGACAGCCTGCAAAGCCTCACACATGGAATCCGCTGCAATTACTGGCACCATCCCTCTGAATCTGAATCTGTACTTTTATGGAATATGCACTGTAAGAACCCACCCAATCTACATGTAGTCATAACCAAACGCTTTGGGGACTATGCCCTATAACCCATTCAAGACAGTGGTATATTGCTCCCTGTGAAGTGGCCAGAAGCCACTGAAATCCGAAATGGGCTCAAGGCTGAGTTTCAAGGTGCACAGGTCACATTCAGATTGGAACCCTAAACCCTAAACCCCTAAACCCCTAAACCCTAAACCCCTAAACCCCTAAACCCTAAACCCCTAAACCCCTAAACCCCTAAACCCTAAACCCCAAAACCGCGTGGCTATAAGGACTTCTAGGGTGCTGCGACAACGCCCAGAACAAAGCCCAAGGGTGGCCAAAATTATCGCGGTTTAGGGTTTAGGGTTTAGGCCGAAAATAAAATGGAAACTACTCTAATGGAGAATCAAATGGAAAAGCAAATGGAAAATGAAATGGAAACTGGGATTATATAGGGGATTATATAGGGGATTATATAGGGTTTAGGGTTCCCCTTGCTGTGGATATGGCACCATCCAGATTGAGATCCCCGTAGCCTCGAGCAATGGACTAACTGACTTGCCAGAATTATGCTGTAAAGGGCTCCTATAGCATTGCAAGTGACTGTACATGTAAAAATCTATGCTGATATTTCTCCGAATATGAACCCCATCACCTACTCTCTAGATATGCCAGTCCGTACCACCCAAAATAGGCCTCAAAGTGTTGAGAAACCCTCTAGTACCTTCCATTTTCTTGTCCATTATCCCTATGTAATCCCTTTAATATGGGTGGTTGTCAAAATTATGGTCCCTTTTTGGGCCCCTATTATAATACGGCACCTAATATTTAGGGTACCCACAAAAGGGACCACAATTTTGACAACCACCCATATCCCTACTCAACCCTTTCATTCAGGTGTCGGCAGCTACAACTGAGCTCTGGGCCTTGATGCAAACTTCCGGCAGGTAGTGAGGGTTTGCCATCTTCGTGGTGACATAGAAAGCCTGGGCACAAATCCTAGTTGAACCATAGTCTAAAGCCCGAGTATCCCCCTCGATAAACCCCCTTATAGTAGTCCCCTACCTAGTCCCTGGGGAATTCTGTTCCACGTGTACCTCTAACTAAGTTTTTTCCCAAATTAAAGCCCCAGACCTCCAAGTAGCAGTCTGCTTGCAAAATTCGCTACAACTGGATGCTTGGGGCATGACAAAGTTTTCATCGTACGGCACGTCTTCAGTGCCCAGGCGGAGCAACAACTGCCTGGCCCGCTACAAAACTGGGTTCTTCTGCACCCCGAGAAGGAGAATCACATTGGGAAAGACCGTGGAAAATTATTACAGTTAGGCCCCAGCTAACAGAAATCAGCTGTATTAGATTTAAGGCTTAGTTAGGGGTTCAGGTGCCAGCGCATAAGCTTGCAAACTTGAAGCTGATGGCACGCCTGACACAGTCACGAATAGCAAGTGGTAGTTGCCCAAAACAGGGGGACCCCAATCTAGACCCCAAAATACAATAATCCTTAATATAGGGACTCCCAAAAGGTACCCCTATTTTTGGGAAACTCCCAAATCTTGCAGGGCAGACCCTCCACGCTTGAAGAGCGCTTTGGTGAGCACAGGCTCCAGGGCAGGATCCAAGACCTACCATGCGCAGACAATTTGGGGGTTTCCCAACATTCAGGGGTACCTTATTTGGGGGTTCCTATCATAAGGACTATAATATATTGGGGTCTATGTTGCGGTCCTCCTAATTCTGAAGCTGTCATTTCTCTTAATCCTGTCCCCTTGATAGTAAAAAAACCCGAATACAATACCATTATACGATGTGAAGAATGTGTTGTTAGGCGGCTGGGGCGATTTTATGTTCTAGAAAGAGGGGATCAATGTACTGGTGGGTAGCAGGGAATGAAGAGAACACAGGGGCTCCTACAAGGGGTGAAGCAGAGACTATCATGGGCATCCATTCCTCCGTTCGCTGATGATCACCAGTGAGCTCTTGGAAAGGACCAGAGGGACAAGAGGGATATAACTTCGCGTCATTACAGAGGTCACGCCTTGTACATGTATACATGTGGGAATCATGGATGCCCGTAGGGGTGTCCTGCGAAAGTCGTGGATCCTGCTGTTCTGGGAGGGTGTGGGAAATCCTTGCGTAACCCATGGTATTACGTGAAGGTCCACCCATCGAAAACCGGTAGTTCAATCCTACTTCCGCTTGCGGCAAATTCGACATACCCGTTCAGAAGGAACCCCGAAAAGCCGGCTGCGCGCTGGATCTTGGAATATGTACGAACTTGGCGGGCAGTTTGAATAGCTATAACTGGGGCTAAAACTAGGATTGCTATAGTTCTGCCCTCATCAAGATACCAGTTCGAAGACACCTTGAGTACCCAGGAACCTTAAAGCATGACAGCCTAACCTGCCAAATATGGGCAATTCTCAAATCCTGGCACCTTTCGGGTTAGGTACCATTTTGTAAGCCCCCGCATATTTGGGGTACCAAAAACTGGCACCCCAACAACTGAAAACTACGCTCCATACATGCCGGGGCCCAAAATAGAGGCCACTGTGCTACAGTCCTATCAATGGGGACCCCCAAAAAAGAACCCCTAGTTTTCGGAAACCCCTCATGCCTCCTCCACATTTTCGATGAGGATGGAGTTGCCGTTGCGGATGCACCTTGTTCATTGCTGCACAGACGGACTACATAGGATCAAGGGGGGGGGGGTGGGAGGATAATGTTGTGGAATTTCCATACATAAAGGTTATCAAAACTGTGTTCCTGCTTTTTTGATACCACAATCCCTAATCCTGAGGATAGCGCAGATTATAAGGCCTAACTTCGACAACCTGATGGATTTCACCCTGCAGCCTGGCAAACCTCATGACACATTACCTTTCAGGCTTTACCTCTGGGAAGCGTGCGATTCCAATTTCCGGAGGTACGTGCCATCGGACAGCTTGGTTATGATGATGTTGTTGTCCTTGCAAGGAGAGATTCTTCTTTCCAGAGAGCCCACTGCAAGTCTTAAGCCGCACATCTGCGTGGCCTTGCCCATGTTTCGGACCCAACGGTTTGCTTGGCCCTGGGGATCGACCATCAGGGGCCATCTCCTCCCGCGAGTCACCTGAAGCAAAACACCCTGTCAGAAAGCACAAGACAAGAAGTGGCAGGCCCGCCATGAGGCCGTTCTCAACCGACAGGTCATCTGAGGGCAGGTTCTGGATGTTCCACGTGCGAACCTGAAGCATGACTCGGTGCTCAAATGTTGTATGGTCATGTGAAGTTAGCACAGGCTCAAACCTCGGCTGGATCCACAAGCACGTCTGCCGCCTTCACAGCAAGAAGCGTAAAAGGGCCAAAGAAAAGGCAGCGAGAGTTCGTGCATGCTCATGTCAATGAACTTCCAGGGGGGCCTTCCAGCTGGGATCGCAGAGGAGACCCACGCCATCTGCTTGCTGCTTCCACTTTGACACCTCAGCCATGCAGGGCACCCAATAAGCCAAGGTCCAAAGTAGCAAGATGCTGAGCATGGGACCAGACTACGCCGGAATTCAGCGGTGAAGGGGCCCGTGTATGCTATGAAGCCACCTGCAGTCTTGCAGCATCGGATCAGAGGCATCAACCAGATCCTGCGAGCCTGCAAGGACAATGTTGCCAATCACAAACTTCAAATTCTTCTCCAAGACTTCGCTGGCCGCCTTGGAGAGGAAGCTTGCATTCGTCATTGCTCTTGTCATTATTCGTGTTACGAGCGCAGCCATTGCTATCATGAATACCGTCATCAGCCTCCATTGACTAGAGTTGCTCACTGGTTTTCTTAACCCTGCGGTTCTCAACGCGATCAATGTGCTGCGTATGAAGTTTGTTGGGGCTTAGGAAGATTTTGTGTACTGTAACTGCTTATTTATACAGGCCTAGGATGCGCGAGAAGCCTGATCACATTTTGTTTTGGTATCAGGCACACACCTGGAAGTTTGCAGCAAAACTCAGGCTGAGCTAGAACAAGTCAAGCTCTGTCAATCAGGGCCCATTCACATCATCCAAATGTCATGTTTTAATTACATCCAGCTCCCTTTTGCTGAGGAACCCAAACCAGAAACTGCTAGCAACAGCCGAGGACTCGGCATTCCAGCGCACACTTTCATTTCCGAGGCCGGCCAGCAGTTTTTCAGCACGATCCAGCTTGACCACCTCATGGCTGTCAAACATCTAACGCGCGCTCTCACGTGATGGGTTTCTATTTAGGCTATCTCCCTCAGGGATATATGGGATCTACAAAGGAATCACGAGGGTCCCCATTGGCGAAATTAGAAAATCTTCGAGGTACTACCTTGCCGGTATGCTGAGGAGCATTGACACAATGTCAGGTTTTCCTACTCAAGTTCTCTTAGGGTTGTAACTGGCTGACTAGTTACAGCCACGAAAAATTCTCTGAGTATGGCAACCCCAGACTCTTGCTGTAACCAATGCAACTTTAAAGACGGGAACTCGGGCTCAAAAGCATTGTGTGCGTCGGCGGTCTTCTACCATTTGCACTAGCTGCATGTGATGCAGGCCTCTAAAACATAGTGAGAAGGTGAGTGGCTCAAAATAGTCCCGCTGTAACAACCTAAAACTTCCTTACGATCCCTTTTCATATCTAAAGTAAAAAAACTTGACAAACCCCAAGATAATCGCAAGCGAAAATGGCCAGATCCCCGAAGTCGGAATGTGTCTGCAAACACCTGATTGTGACAGACCCCATTAGCTTACACCTTTATCTCTTCACCTCCCTCTTGCCAACTAGTATTTAGGGTTTAGGGTTTAGCAGCCTCTTACCCCTATACTGGAGAATCAAACGGAAAATGCATGGAAAATGATAGGGCGAAGCGCTGACTTACATTGAGCGGAGGGTTTCATAACACGCCATTGTCAGGACACCATGTCTGCAACCACGTATGGAGGCAGCCCCCATGCCATTGCAGAGCTTAACTAACTTAGCACTAGGATCTTGGTAGCCCCTATAATAAACATCCATATGACTACCATAATGTCCTAAACTTTGGGGCTGGAGAAACTGGATTTGCCTTGTGCCTCATATTTAGGCCCAATATAACCCCAGTTTCTATTTCATGTTCCATCTTCTTGTCCATTTGATACTCTGCTAGTAGGGTAATGCCCCGCTAAACCCTAAATCTTAATCCCGAATCCCAAGGTCCTCTGACTAAGACCAGGGTCAGCACGCAATCTTCCGCGTCGGCTTGAAGCTGGGCAGCCTTTTTGGAATGCATAACAACAGTACTAATCGTAATACTACTCGAAACAATAACAATAGTAGTAACAGTAGTAATAATAGTAAACATGATAATATGAATAATCATGGTTTACTCATCTGGCTTAGAGTTTACTAGGTAGGTTTGAGAGCCCTATGAAAATTAAATTTCTATGGCATTATAGGGATCATATTGGCTCAAGATGCAAAACACCAGCCTTCCGCTGTGCTGCAGCCAGCTGGGCCTGTGAACAGCAGCTTAGGGTTCAGACCTAGGGACGTATAGGGGTAAATAGGGGCATCTAAGGGCTTATATGGTTAATTATATGGGATTATACAGGGATACTACCCCCCAAACATGGCAAATCGAATCCGAAAAAAAGGAAAATCAAGTGGAAAGTGGGGCTTAGGGCTTGAGGTTCAGGGTTTACGTTTGCAGGCGAGGGGTTTAGCGTTGAGGATTCCACGTTTCAGGCCTAGGGTCTCGTGCTTGGGGTTTAATGGACGTTTCTTGGAATATGCCTTATACAATTCACCCCATGATTCCCTTGTGACCCTGCAAATATCCCTAGAGTCCTGAAGCCTGAAGCCACCATTAGTCATTCACAGCTTCATGGAGCATTCTTGGAGACCGTTGGCTCAGCCCTTAGCGCACACTTTTCAGCTTTTGGGAACGAGTGAGCCACTAAAGGGCGTGCAAATGGGACTTATGAAGTTAGGGGATATTACCACCACAAGAACGCACAGTTGAGGGTTTAGGCTTGCAATGGTATAAGAAGTCTTCCGTCAACAGCACCACTGCCTAAGCCCAAGCCCTGAGCCGTAAATCCCAAACCCAAAGTGCATGCTTTAGATTTCAAACCCTGGATCAAAAACCCTAAACCCCCTAACCCTATATAAACCTCAAAACCTATCCCTTAAGCCCTAAACCCCAAACCGCTAGACCCTAAGCCCAAAAACCCGGAACCTTACATCCCAAACCCCAAACCGCCAGACCCTAAGCCCAACATGAGCCATAGTCTAAACTCCTAGTATTCCCTCAATAAACCTATAAAAGCCTTCTACACAATGTAACCACCTTTGAGGAGTTTAGACTCTTGTTGACTCTAGTTCACAAGCCTCCGTAGAACCAAAACATCAAGCAGCAGTCCTCTAGAGAGGCGACATTGTCCATAACCAGCTTTAGCTCAGCCTGCGCCGGATATCAATCTGGAACACATGATACTACTTCAATAAAAACGTAATAAGGGAACGTATGTAATTCTAAGTATTCAGGGTTCAGATTTCGTGTTTAAGGCTTTGAGTGGTGGATTTGGGGTTTGGGGAACCTTTGGCCTGATCTGAACATCCTTTAGCACATAGAATTGCACACTCCGTACAAGAGCCAAATGCTCTAGAAGTGAGGCAGGCATTTAAGGAAAAACTTGAAAGATTCTTTTTGCTATCATCCTTCCGCAATTTCAATTGCTCACTTTTGCCCCCAGCAGTACCAAAATTAGCACTGTCGTTACCACTATCATGTCGCATAGGAGTTCGGGCGCACGGAGGGAATGGATCCCTGCATAGAAGTCAGCGGAATTACCATTGCACTAAGCATGAATTAGCCTATCCCCGTGCCAGGTCCACGTCAGTCAACAAGAAAAACCTCGCGATCCCAACGGTGATCCTGGGAGCACTGCAGCGTTAGCTCCACATTGCATTAAACTTCCCCGAGAAAAATGACATGTGTTTCTGCGAATGAAGGAACCCAAATAAGGGCTCCTGTATACTATAGTCCTTATCATGTTCCCTTGGTGTTCTCCATCATCGCAGTAGTATCCCTAAACCCCATATAATCCCTCTACATCCGTATATACTACATACTCCTAACATCCCCTATATGATGTTCTGACACAGCATGAGGTTTAGGGCTGGCGACGGAAGTGGCTAAGGCCCTGCTTCCCAGGAATCAGTTCCCTCAAAGGGAGAAAGTTTATGTTTTGTGTTTTTCATCGGACCTTTTCTCCCGCAGATACTTTATGGTTTAGGGTTTAGGGTTCAATCAGAATAACAAAAGGGTTATTCTCAAGACTGTGGGCCTTTTTGGGAATACCCAAATAACGACAGCAGAAAGAATTGCATTCATGCTAGGAATAAAGATGTGTGGCACTCAACCCGAGGTAGGCCTATTACAATACACTAGTGCTTTCCATAACAGCAATGATACAGGGAGTTTCGTTTATTCTGGCGTTTGGGGTCTTGGGGTCCGTCATTTTCATTGGAGACTAGGCCCAGGCCTAAAGGGACCCCCCCAGCATCTGCCACATCAAGCTGCAACTTTTCTTGCTTGCGCTAGGCTTACATTTCAGCCTTGGCAGCACTTGACCCATGGTTCCTAGGTCGGCTAAACAGCGCTCGAGCGCGCTGTCGCAGTTGCTGAGCCACTTTCGTCAGGCTGCTTCCCAAGCGCTGCAACCATCCCTCACGCCACCTGGGAGATTCTCTAAATGACCCCCTCTAAAATCCTCTTAAGGCCACCATACTCCCCATCAAACCCTAAGGTCCCCCTGCCCCCCCCAGTTGCAGAAACCCCCAACCTGTCATGGCCTTGGACGAAGCAGGTCCTCCCCGACTCGTCATCCAAGTCTGGTAGGGCAGAGCAATTGTACAGAATGTCCCAAAGGCTGGAATTACACCGGCCCTGCGATCGGATGACTTCCTCCGCACAGTCCTCTGGGTTGCTCTTAAGGAACTTGAATAAAATTACCATTATGAGGAGACCCTATTAACTCATATTATGGCAACTTAATTAAGTTACTATAATGAGGAAACACCATCATCTACTATATATCCATATTATGGCAACTTCCTACCCTAAACCCTAAACCCTAAACCCTAAACCGTGTGGCAACTCCCTCAAAATTCCTTAACAGCAACCCAAGTCCTTGTCGATCATCGGGGCAACTGTGGGTAAGGCCTCCAAAATGAGCCCTTGACCTTTCAGTTTGCATGCCACCGCGTGGGCTGCTGCGATTCCAGATAGGAAGGCCCCGGTAACTGTTCCCACATTGTGAGATACCTGGTTCTTGTTGAAATAATCTTAAAATGAACATTGTTAATCTATATTGGGCCCAGGTATACATAAAGATGTAAAATGTTGTTCAACAAGAACCCAGATACGTAATCTCCAGCAAAGAACAGCCTATCATCCAAAGGTTTCCCGGCTAATCTCGCCGCCGGCCTTCCCGTGGAGCCTTTGAGCCAGAAAGGTAGACCCCATGGACGCAATACATGAGAACTCCTCAATTCTGGCAGATCTGCAAACATCTCCCTTAAGCGGCCCAGCAGGAACTGGACAACAGCTGCATCTGATTCATTCGTCAGGCGTTCAGCCAAGCGCCCATCTGCTTCGGCCACTAACACGGGAGGGTAGGTGCCGAGGACAGGCGCGGTAAACTCAATGGAGCACAGATCTACATCCTCAAGGAAATTCTGGGTGCAATTCGTGACAAAGTCCATGAAGAACTCCACATCTGAGGGCCAGAAACTCTGGTTGAACTCCAGCGCCACTCGGATGGCACGGCCCAGGCCCAGCTGCTTCCAAGCATCTCGCTTCCTGGACCAGTGTGTTGGTGACATGCTAGGGTTGGGTTCTATAGGGATAATGGAGAATAAAATGGAAACTACAGGGATTATAGGGATTATATAGGGGTTATATAGGGACTATTAGACTTCTTTTTCCGGGAGGTTCTGCAGGACCATTCGTGCCCTGCTTATGCACTAGCATCCTACAAAGTGCAAGTATGCAAACTCGCGCAACTTGTCATATTTTGTCCAAAGGGATAAATCCACGTGAAGCCGACACATTCACCCCTTAGATACTACAAGCTGCGGGTGTGAAAAAAAATTTCTGAAAAACACCGCTGCTTCCAGTCTGGCAGGGGCTCCACTGACACCATTCCTTCTCGCAATTCTCCAAGGGGCAGGGCAACAACTGCAACTTGGCTAGAGACATCCCACCCGTCACCTTCAATATCTATCAGATCTGAGCCGATCCGTATTCTCTTGACGTGGCGATTTGCGCTGAAGTTTTGAGAATTTGGCTGAATGATCTGCTGGATGATGCACTCCATACCTTCCACAATGCGCCAGTCGCTTCCAACACCATCAACGCTATCATACTCGCAGTGCCTCACAGCGGAAAGCTCGTGTAGGGGGGCCGTCCAATCCTCTATTATTTCTCCATATAGAATGGCCGCAAATGCAGCCTCCTGCTCAGATGACAGCTTGAGCGCTTTGTGCCGAAAGATCTGCTGAAAGACATGCAGAAGGCTGTCATCCTTGACCCCAAACGACTTCCACCGATTGTAACCAGCTTCAATGTCGTCCAGAAGACGGAACATGTCTGACACAACAGGCCGAGGTACCACCTTTCCGGCATGGTAGACATTCATGTTGAGATTTTGGGTTCGAACCATGCTACAGTTGCCTTGCTCCGCTAAGTACGTAAGCGGATTTGCAGTGCCATAGTGGACCCAAGCGGGGCCAACATCCACTCCGTACTTCCCAAACTTCAGTGTCCGGCTGCGACCACCAACTCGCTCAGACCTATCGAGCAGCAGAATCGACAAGTTAGCCTGGAGCAGATGCCTCACCGTTGACAGACCAGCGGGACCAGCCCCCGCAACAACAACATCGAAGACCCCCAGGGTCTCTGCCAGACTTTGTATTTGCGTGCAGGCACAAAGGGCCCAGAAACTTAGCAGATGCATGGCCCGCATGGCTGTGTCAACTGGCTGGCATAGGAGCTTGGACCAGGTGCTGCGAGTTGGGATCTTCAAAATAATCATCAGGTTATATTGGGGTTATATTGGATAATGGAAAAGAAAAGGAAACTACCATAATGGGTTAAATAGGGGTTATATAGGGTTATATTGGGGTTATATTGAGATAATGGTCAAAGTAATCATATGGTACCCAATATTACCCCAATAATGGAGAATCAAATGGAAAAGAAAATGGAAAATGAAATGGAAGCTGGGATTATACAGGGGTTATATTAATCAGCGTTATCATTCTTACTGACACCATGTTACCATGATGTTCCTAGCATAATTCGATTGTCTGGTATCGGCGATTCTTGGTCTTCTGACGCATTAAAGTCAAATGTGGTGACGCAGCAAGGCACAGAGAGACCTTCCAGGATCAAACCAAGGCTACAAACCTTAACACCTTGAAGCCTTAATCTGAGACCCTCAAAAATCCAAACCCAAAAACTCTAGACAGTGAAAACCTAACTGCCGCAACACAAAGCTCTGAGCCCTGTTTAACAAAGCCTTTGATCAGGGCTTGGCATACTGGGGATTCGGCATATCCAGCACTTTATTATGCTAATGTGCGACAAGCTACAGGATTTCATCGCCGGCTTTTTCACGATAAGCAAAGCCATCATCCATCGTGGCATTTACGGTAGAAGACGGGGACCTCTGTTGTTCGAACTGGCCCTAAACCCTAAGCCCTAAACCCTAGGTTGATGGGGACAGCCTTAGAACGCTGATGGCCTCTGAAGTACTGTAATTCCCGGGACTGAAAGGGGGGAATAGGAGTTATATAGGGCTAGTGGAAAAGAAGATGGAAACTACAGGATTTTAGGGATTATATGGTGGTTATATAGCGTGATTTCCGCTACCAACAAAATGCTAGGTAGCCATGTTACGAAACACGAGTATTAGCTATCATAATCATTCTAGAAACTACAACTTGCGTATTGCCCTACCTACAGTAATCCCGTATAACCCACCATGATAGCCCCAATTACTTCTATAAGCCGTTCCCCCATTCCCTAAACCCTGAACCCTAAGCCTTAAACCCTAAGCCTAAACCCTGAGCCTAACAGTAGGTAACTGGCCTTCTTGATGGATAGCTTCTCCTCAGCAGCGGCTAGAGACTCCTCCGCAACCTTGAGTTTAGCCTGCGATGGGACAGAGTTTTGCATTTAGGGCTTGGGATCTGTGCCTTGTTGGGTTTTTTGCTTAAGGGGTTCAGGGGTCAGGGGGCTTAGGGATTTAGGTGTTTGAGGGATGAACGAATTTGGGGATTTCCCCAGATCCGCAATTACCCCCTTCTTCCGTCTTTAGAGATTGGACTGGGGATCTTAAAGCTGGATCTTGTAGAACACCCGCGAACAAGGGGTAAGTACCCAGGGCCCTGTGCCACAGGCCATTATGGCCTCTTCCAGAGGCAAATGATACAGGGATTCCAGTGGGATTTGTTGCAGTAACGTGGGGAAAGGTAGCATGAGGGCATGGGATCTCGTGCTTTTGGGCAACCAGCTTTCTCTGACGAGCTGCAAGCTACTATAATCGGGGAATGGCAGAAGAGTGCAGGAGAGCAAAATTGATGCTGAAAGCAAGCCTACGGAAAGGCAATAAGGTCGCGAAATTGCAGAAAATCTTTGAGCCTTTTTCAAGACATTTGCACATCCCTCTTAAAATCAATAGGAGCCGTTTGATTCCTGTCTACTTCCTGCATAACACTATGGCTGATCAAAACCATACTATTGTTCACACACATACTCTCCCGAAAGATCTTCGAAGGCGACCACTCCAAAGAGTTCGATTGCATGCCGCACGCCTTTTTCGGCTCGATCTCCCGGGATACTCTGCCGTACACATCCATGGCTCGTACCCACATGCCTGCCAGCAAGCGGCTGGGGTCCCTGCAACGGTAGCAACTGTATGCCATTTCGTAATGGTATACTGTTCGCTTGTGATTCTTTATTGGACCTATGCCAATATGAGTAGCATGCGGGAGACACACAATCAAAAAGGCTACAAAGTTGCAGAGCGGTGTTCTAGATGAATCTAGCAGTTTGTTGACAAAATTTATATAACCCCAATATATACCCTATTCTTTTCCATTATCCCAATATAACCCCTATACAACCCCAATATACTATAGTACGATTAGGGTCCCCGTTGGACCCTGTAGGTCTATGGGGGCTATGAGGAAATCATGCGGGTCTCGCCTAAGGAGTCTAGGGCCTATGGTACCCATTATATAATGGAGAATCAAATGGAAAAGAAAACGGAAAATTAAATGGAAACTGGGGGTAATATAGGGGTTATATTGGGGATATAGTATTCTATGGGAATCATTCTGCGAAGTCCTAGCATGAGAAGCGCATAAGAGGCTCTCTTAGCCCTACAACCTAGTCCTAGTTTTGGTGATTGGTCCACTTTTTGAGCCTGTGACCTCCTTTGCATGGAGAGATGACTACTTAGCATTGCAAGTTCCATGTTCTTTTCATCACGTGCTGCCGTAGTAGTCGTGCCCACTTTCTTTTCCGTTCAATATTCTGCTTGACAGAGTTTCTACTGCCTTTGATAGCAGTGACCCTGCCCTCAACTAGCATGGAACCCCATGCAAGCTCCTTTTCAAGGACAGTAGTCTTTGCAGGGCCTCCTTTGGTTTCTATGCTACAAGTACGTAGCTCGCGGGAATATTGGGGCTTCAACAGATCACGGGTCCATACTCTAAGGATTGCAAATCTTGAGCAAACCTTTGGAAACATCCAGTGGGCCATTAAAGCCACACCTGAGTGAGTTTTCAACCAGTAAGAGTCATATTCCTCTTAAATAATACTAGACCCAAAAAGAGAGTAAAATCTTATTCAACAGTATCCCTTTTAGAAATACTAGACAGCTGGCTTCAGGCAAGCTACAAAGAGACATGGCCGCCGAGGATACGCTCTTCACCTGGCCCGAAGCAGGTTGAGGGCTTAGGGTTTAGAGTTCCAGGCTTCGGGTTTAAGGTATAGGGCTTAGGGTTTAAGGGTTCAGGGTTTTAGGGCTTTTGGTTCTAGAGTTTAGCGTTTGGGATTTAGGGTTCTAAGGCTCAAGACTTAGGGTCCAGGGCCTGAGCTGCGAATTTCTCATCTTCAGGAACCGCCTAGAATCTCCAAGATGAACAGCATATCCAAGTAACGGTTCCAAGTATCAGGGCGTATAACTTGAATCCATTCCCATGTCTCATTCATTAAAAGCGAGCCTAACCTTTTTCAAAAAAGCCGGGCTACATACTATCACCACCAGCAGTACAAACAGCACCACCACCATCACAACTAGCAACAGCAGCAGCAGCAGCAGCAGCAGCAGCAGCGGAGTAGTAGCAGTAGGAGTAGCATCAGCCGCACCCGTCTACAAACCATGTTATCTTAAGCATTGGGGCTTGGCGTCCAGAAGGTGAGCAAGACAGCGCGGGTGAACCTGAAACACGCAACAATGCGACAGTTGCTTGAAATACCGCTAAATCACTAAACTCTGGCAAGAAACCCCCCCCCCCGCCATCTGTCCCGCTTGATCCCCACAATCTGACTGTACTAAACTTCTCGCAACTCGAAAATTCCTTATTTGATGCACACCGCAGTCCACGTGTTCTCCGACCCCGATGCACATTCGAGGGGGGTGCAGGTGGAGACCTGCTTGAATTATGGCTAAAAGATGTGCCATGAGAAACCCATAGCTCTCAAAAAAACACCTTGTGAAGAGTCCTCAGATTGAGGATCACAACACAAAAGACATTGAACACTTAGCGCACAGGGAGGCTGCGCCTTCTCCGCGACAAAGTCCTCCCTGTCAAACAATGAGAGCCAAGTCTAAGGCTTGGGGAATCTAGGGCCGGAGACTTCGAGTGTAGGGACTTGGGCTTTAGGGGCTCCAGATTTTGCTTGCGGTTTGCCTGAATTACTGTGTTGCTGGGAACATCACCGCAGGGACCCACCTCATTTTGAGAATCAAACATGAGGGCCCATCGTACTAAATCTGGGTGCCACCTACCATTATCAACCTCCCCCAACCCCCAACCCTAAACCCCAACCCTAAATCCTCAACCGTGCACTCTAAATCCTAAGCCCCCCCCAGCTCCAAAGCAAATTTGGGGAAGTCCGAGCCGCTTGGGAATTAGGCATATGAGCTATAATCTAATCTCCTAGTATCCCCTTAAGAACCCCTATAATACTCCCTATGGAATCCCCTATATAACCACCTCTGAGGAGTCTAAACCCTAAATCCTAAACCCTAAATCCTAAACCCTAAACCCTAAGACCCTAAAGCCTAAGACCCTAAACCCTAAATCCTAAACCTTAAACCCTGATATAAGACCCTTTAAGGAGTGCAGATTATATCTCTTAGGGGGCGATGCTGCCAGGCTGGAGCCTAGGGCGAACAATATACAAAGCACAGCTCCACGGCTTAGAGGGTTTAAGGTTTAGGGTTT